GTGCCTTCAGCACCCTCGGATGGAGCTCAGGAGGTATCTTAAATTATACTTCGTAATGTGGCACACGGCATCTGACTGGAGCTGCCCAGAGCTACCAGAAGCATGCAGGTGAACATATCCTTTAGCACCTTGGTGGCCAGAGCTACTGTTCGCTGCTAGAAATACTGGCATCAGATGCAGAGGAGTGAAGCATATTCTTAGACACCGAGACACCTTCAATCAGCACCTTCAATCACCTGTTGGGATGTCTCCCAGCAGAAGTCAAAGCTATGGTTTCTTCTCTCTACCTTCCTCAGGCTATGTTTATATAATGGCAGGGAGACAGGGACTGCTACTACTTTAATTAGGGCATCACTGTAAAGTTGCCTTGGCCATCTGGTGGCAGGGGTTTTCCTTTTGCTGGAGCTACACCCTCACCCCTGACAACAGAAGCTCTGCAAGGAGAAAGCAGAAGCTGCATCCATACCAGGGGATTTGCCAGCAGAGCTACTTCAGGTATAGGGTCTGATCTTTCCACACTCCCTGCCAAGAGAGTTCTGATGGCTGTTAAGCAAAAGTCCAGCATTGTTCCTTGGCCTCAAGGAATGCACTTAGTCAGAGGTCCTGGTTAACAACTCTCTGCCAGGGCTCTAGCCTTGAGTATAAAAATTCTAATGAAGGATTCTCCTAAAATCCTCATAACAGCAGTTGTTCTTCTTATTACTGTAGTTCTCTGAGTATTTGATAACCAATGTAATTTTATGCATACATTTTGCATGTTATATAATGGAAAATAGAAAGTGATGTTCAATGCATTTTCTTTCTCTCCTGAGGCCAGGTCGCTCTGAATCACTTATACTGTTGAATGGAGAGAACAGGTGCGATGGGCGAGTCGAGATTTCCCTCAGTGGAACATGGAGCAGAGTCCTGGATGATCAGTGGGACATGAATGATGCCAGTGTGGTGTGCAGGCAGCTCCAGTGTGGAGCTGCTGAGAAAGCCTATCACCCTGCAAAGTCTGAGTGCGGGACAGGTCCTGTGGGGTTCAGAAGTGTCCAGTGTGCTGGACACGAGTCTAATCTGATGCTCTGTGACAACTCCCTGTCTGAGGCAATGCAGGCTGGCATAGCGGAAGATGTCAGTGTTGTTTGCTCAGGTGACTTCCCCTGAAAATCCTACAAACACCTTCTTCTGTCAGGGGTACAGCCAGGATATAAGTGGTCAGGGTCACAACCCAGGGGATCAGGAACAGATAAGTCAGGGAGCAAAGGACCACAGTTGTCATGCGTCAGGACCAGGGGGGTCAGGAGGCTGAGGGGTATAATGTGCCCAGATGTTGGCAGTTTTGAAATGTGAGACCAGGGGTCAGGATCAGTAAGCAGGGATCTAGCCAGAATGACTAGCCAGGAGGCCTGGAGTGGCTGTTATAGTTTACGGGATTGGGATACTGGTGATTACTACAGGCCGGGAGCTGGCTGTCAGAGGACAGGAGTCTGGCTTGGAACCAGGATCATGGTGGGTCAGGGAGTCAGCAAGACAGGCTGGGAGAACAGATTGTTTTCTTTCCATTTTTTTTCCTTCCTCCTCCTCCTCCTCCTCCTCCTTATGTTAACCCTACTCTGTGGACCCTTTCCTGTAGGAGATCTCCCAAGGAATCTCAACTTGATGTTCCTGATTGTTCCTTTCCTTTCCTTTCCTTTCCTTTCCTTTCCTGTTAAGAGTGGAAAGCTAAATACACACCAGACCATTATATAGGATCACATCTCTTCATTTGAAATTATATTGCCATAAACCTTCCCTTTGCTGTGCCATGTGCCCCACCTACCTCCACATTGAACAAATAAGCCAAATGTGGGCTGCTGCTAGGTGTCCCTGTTTGCCACATTTAGGACAAAATGTTGGCATTGCATGGTAATATGTAACACAGCAATTAGCAACTGCTTCTGCCAATGTGAGGAGATTGTATACTCCTCTTGGACCTGTGGGGTTCTGGGGTCTGCTTTTAAAAGGGCTTGAGAATCAAAGTGACTGTCCATATCCTGTTTTTATCTCCTATTTTACTAATCTCTCCTATTTCCTAATCTCTCCTATTTTACTAATCTCTCCTATTTCCTCAGAGTGTATCTTTACCTATACCTAACCCAAGTGTGGGCTGCTGCTAGGTGTCCCTGTTTGCCCCATTTAGGATAAAATTTTGGCTTTCCATAGTAATATGTAACACTGCAGTTAGCACCTGCTTCTACCAATGTGAGGAGACTGTATACACCTCCTGGACTTGAGGGGTTGTAGGGGCTGCTTTTAGAAGGGCTTTGGGCCATCCAAGTGCCTGTCCATATCCTGTTTTTAGCCCCTATTTTACTTATCTTTCTTATTTCCTCAGAGTGCATTTTTACCTATATTGATAAGTCTGTTTCAGTGAATGTATTTTAATTTCTACCATTCTCTCTCTATTATTTAGCGCCACACTAAAAACAGTGTACATCAGTACTGGGTCACCCTTGGCTTCTTGAAAGCTGTCTAGAAATTTCTGATAGCCTTTTTAGCTCCTAAAACTCAGATCCTAGTCTAGTCCCAGAAGTATAACAATGATGCAGTTTAGGTCTGATGGGCAGACTTTCGGTATCTTCTGAAGCACAGTTTGACTGATTTCCAGACTCATCATCTCCGATTTCCCAGTACCAGAGAAAAACTCTGCTGTGGCACTTATCCTCACAAGTGAACATCGTTGACTGGATGTGTTCAAATCAGCAGGTCCTGACGATCTCCACCCCAGAGTGCTGAGGGAATTGGCAGAGGTCATTGCGGGACCCCTGGCACGGCTTTACGAGCACTCATGGTGCTTTGGCATTGTGTCAGAGGACTGGAAAAGGGCCAATGTGGTTCCCATTTTCAAAAAAGGGAGGAAAAAGGACCTAGGAAACTATAGACCAGTTAGTCTTACCTCGGTTCTGGGTAAACTTTTTGAGAGAATTATCCTGGCACATGTCCATGAGGGACTAGCAGGGGAGATTATGCTTAGGGGCAACCAACATGGGTTCATTAGAGGCAGGTCCTGTCAGACCAACGTAGTGGCCTTCTATGACCAGGTCACAAAATCCTTAGACGCAGGTGTAGCAGTGGATGTAATCTTTCTGGACTTTAGGAAGGCCTTCGACACTGTCTCCCATCCCATTCTTATTAAAAAACTAGTAGACTGTGGCGTCGACACCTACACAGTGCGGCTGGAGCGCCGCACCCAGAGAGTGCTGATGGATGGGTCATTTTCGACCTGGAAGGATGTGGTCAGTGGGGTACTGTAGGGCTCGTTCCTCGGGCCCGCACTTTTCAAAATCTTCATCAGCGACTTGGATGGTGGGGTAAGAAGCACCCTGTTCAAATTCACAGATGACACTAAGATGTGGGGAGAAGTGAGCATGCTAGAAGGGAGGAATAGGCTGCAATTGGACCTGGACAGGTTACAGGGGTTGGCGGATGAGAACAGGATGGGTTTCAACACTGACAAGTGCAAGGTGCTTCACCTGGGAGGAAGACCAGCAGCATACCTACAGGTTGGGGAGCTCCCTTCTCATCAGTACAGAGGCAGAAAAGGATCTTGGACTCATTATTGATGCCAAAATGAACATGGGCCAACAGTGTGGGGACGCGGTCAGGAAGGCCAACCACACCTTGTCATGCATCCACAGATGCATCTCAAGCAGGTCTAAGGAGGTGATCCTCCCCCTCTATGTGACACTGGTCAGGCCGCAGTAGGAGTACTGCATCCAGTTCTGGAGGGATGTAGACAACATGGACAGGGTCCAGAGGAGGGCCACCCGCATGATCAGGGGGCAGCAGGGCAGGCCCTACAAGGAGAGGCTGAGGGACCTGAACCTGTTCAGCCTCCACAAGAGAAGGCTGAGGGGGGGATCTAGTGGCCATTTACAAACTAGTCAGGGGGGACCAGCAGGCATTGGGGGAGTCCCTTTTCCCCCGAGCACTACCAGGAGTGACAAGAAATAACGGTCAGAAGCTGGCAGAGGGTAGATTCAGACTGGATATCAGGAGGTGCTACTTCACAGTCAGGGTGGCTAGAATCTGGAACCAACTTCGAAGAGAAGTGGTGCTGGCTCCTACCCCGGGGGTCTTTAAGAGGAGGTTAGATGAACACCTTGCTGGGGTCATTTGACTCCAGTACCTTTTCCTGCCATGGCAGGGAGTTGCACTTGATGATCTGCTCAGGTCCCTTTTGACCCTACCAACTATGAAACTATGAAACTATTATTCCTGCAGGTCCCTCCATGTTTTCTATCCCTTTCCCTTTCCCATCAGGAAGGGCAGGAAGTGCCTCCACTGTTGCCTGCAGTGTCACAGGCACAATCACTGTTTCCTGAGCTGTTGCTGTAGCCATTATTACCATTGGTTCAGGGTCAGCTCCTACCTGCCATCCTGCCAGAGGGCCAAGCAGACAAAGGCCACTGGTACCCAAGCAGTCAGAGGCCCAGGGTTAACAGGGAGGCAACTGTTATATTGTCCAGTTTTGTGCACTCTGAAAGAACTGCTGCTAATCAGTAGGCAGTCAGACCCTTACCCCTGTTGAGCTGGGTGCTGCTTGGCCTGCTTGCTGATCTAACTCCTGACATCCACAATTGAGCAGAAATATGACCATCGTAGAACTTGCCACCAGCCTACTTTGTGAAGTGATCTCACTCGAATGCAAAGAGATGTTAACACAAGGGTCAAATCAGTACATTTTTGGTTGGCAGGATAAAAATATAGCAAGTTCCAAAGCATGGCTGCAATTCTGCCCCTTGTACCTCTGATGGGGGTAGAGGGAGGCACAGACTATTTATGAGCCTGAATTATTTCCTGTCCAGTATCTTCTTGTATTCTAACTTTGCAGATGTTTTCCTTTATTTTTACTTGTATGTACAGGTTTTTAAGTAATTTCAATGTATGAACCTTTTTAATATCAGAATGATTTGTATGGAAGCTATTCAGTTATCATTAATTTGCCCATTAATTGCTGGGATTTCTCCTTACAGGAAGCAGGAGGATCAGACTGGTGAATGGGGCAGGTCACTGTGCTGGGAGAGTGGAGGTTTATTACCAGGGCATCTGGGGGACTGTCTGTGATGATTCCTGGGACTTGTCTGATGCCAGCGTAGTTTGCAAACAACTGAGATGTGGACACGCCATTGAGGCATCTGCCTCTGCTCACTATGGGGAAGTGAAGCAGGAAGATCAGACTGGTGAATGGGGCAGGTCGCTGTGCTGGGAGAGTGGAGGTTTATTACCAGGGCACCTGGGGGACTGTTTGTGATGATTCCTGGGACTTGTCTGATGCCAGCGTAGTTTGCAAACAACTGAGATGTGGACACGCCATTGAGGCATCTGCCTCTGCTCACTATGGGGAAGGCTCAGGGCAGATCTGGCTGGATGATGTGAAATGCGCTGGGAATGAGTCTGAGCTCTGGGCATGTCCTTCCAGGAGCTGGGGCCAACACAACTGCCGACACAAAGAGGATGCAGGAGTGCTCTGTTCAGGTCTGTTCTGTAACTGCTCTGATGAACCTGGTTACCAGGGGTATACTGGAGTGGAGACTGGAGACACAGAATTATAGAAATCCTCTTTGACTGTATTTTTCTTTCTCACTTACCAACACATGATAGTCATTATTAGAGTGCTGCTGAGGAGGAGTCAGATTTTTGAGGGGAGAAATAAGAATAATAGAGGTCTTCCCTGGATGCTAATTTCTTTTTCTTGTCTTCCCGTTTATGAAAGTCATTATTAAAATGCTGCTTTTTCCGATAATTTCCCTGCATAGAGCTGGCCATGATCTCTGGGATTTCAGTGTGCATACTGCACGTTTGATCAGAATCAGGTCAGTACAAGTTGTTTTTTTGCATTTTTTTCTAGAGTTTATGGATCTGAGGCTGGTGAATGGTGGTGACTGTGCTGGACGGTTGGAGGTTTTCTACAATGGGACCTGGGGGAGTGTTTGCTCCAATCTAATGACTGATATCACCATTGAAATTATATGCAAGCAGCTGAGCTGTGGAGTTGGAGGGGCATTTGCAAGAGAGTTTGCATATGGAGAAGGTTCTGGTACCACATGGCTGGACCACATTGAGTGTCATCATGAGCATCACAGTTCCCTTTGGCAGTGCCCATCAGAGCCGTGGGATCTTCAGTCATGTGACTGGATGGAAGAGACCCACATTGCTTGCAGTGGTAACTCTAAAACAATCTTTAAACATATGCACACACCCAGATGATACACCAACACCCTCAGATGTACAACTGCAACTGCACACATATGCCCACATTCACTGAGGCACTGAGGTAGAGAAATATTGCATTTATTAGGCAAGGTGCCTGTGAGGTGCCTATTTATTAGGCACCCAGTTTTGTGGGTGATATCTTTTACTGGATATAATGTCTAGTTGGGAAAGACAGATAAGATATCAGGTACCAAAATCCCCTTCCTCTAGTCTTTGGGAGACAAGCAGTCACAGTAGAGCATTTAATTGATTAGAAGTTTTTTCATTCTGAAGATTGTAACAAACTGTTTATATTTTGGGGATGAAAATCAGTGATGGACCCAAACTGTGAGGTTTCAATCTGGGTGAGAATTTTCCAAAAATCCATTTGTGTATATTTCGGCAAGTGGCTTGGATATATTTGTGAAGATGCTGATCTGAGCCGTAGGTTCATTTAGGTTCCAGATACAGTACAATTGTTTCTCTTCACTGGAATTCCCTACTACTCCAGGTGTTTTTCAGATAATAAAACTGTTCACTATCAGGTTCTTTATAAAAGGATAGGGAAGAGACTCAGAGAGAGAAAGCATGGAGTGAGAAATCACAAGCGCACACATGCTGTCAGAGAGCTGCAAAATTTTGAGAAATCATGGTTACCACTATAGTATAAATCCTTCGGGTATTACATAAACTAGAACTTATATCTTATTCATACAGGGTGTGTCTACCTGTACCCATATGGCAGTGTTGCTACTGTGCCATGCCTGTGCTTTAGTACTTCCAAAAGAAAGCGCTAAAGCATGGCGCAATAGTAGCCCCTACTGTGTTGTCCATTGGGCAAACGGTTATTTTTAGCTGCTACTATGCCGTGGTGGCATGCTACAGTGAGGGAGTGCACTGCTGCAGCAAAGTAGCTCTTGGTCACCTGTAGATGGAGAGTTTCATAGTTGGTAGGGTTGGAAGGGACCCGAGCAGATCATCAAGTCCGACCCCCTGCCATGGCAGGAAAAATTACTGGGGTCAAATGATCATGATCACTTCGTCCGCATAGTGCGTCACTAAGGCGACTTAACATTGCATGTAGATGTGCCCACAGTGTTGCAGTGGAGGGGTTATAGATTCTACTTCATTTTTCATGAAGCACAGTAATTAGTCCACTCATGGTAGTATTTATTTCTATAGGAGGAAAAGAAAACAGAACACAAAACTCATTTGCTGCGTGCCCAGGCTCTACAAACTGCACAGGTATCAATGCTTCTCTGTATCTCTTCTCAAATTCTAACGACCTTCCCAGCTATCCCAGTAACATGTGAGGTTTCTGCCTTTCCCAGACAAGGAAAAGCTCCGTGTTGTGGGAGGAGAGGATGGATGCTCAGGGAGAGTGGAGGTTTGGCACCGCGGCTCCTGGGGAACAGTGTGTGATGATTCCTGGGACATGGCAGATGCAGATGTCGTGTGTAAACAACTGGGCTGTGGACCTGCTGTGTCTGCCCTGGGCAAAGCGGCATTCGGGGAGGGGACTGGCCCCATCTGGCTGGAGAAGTTGGACTGTCGAGGGACAGAGTCATCTCTGTGGCACTGTCCTTCCAAGAGCTGGGATGACAGTAACTGCCACCATAAAGAAGATGCTGGTGTGAATTGCTCAGGTAAGTGCAAGCCTCATTGGACAGGCTTGGAAGGATTCAGTAAGGAAAGCTTCCTATAGAGATGGTATGTGAGGCTAGAAACAGATGTTGTCAGTGGAGTGCAATTGGCTGTGCTGTGATAGGTTATGGCACGACTGATCAACATCTACCAATATGCCTGGTTGCTGAGGCCTAACTTGGGGTACATCTGCATGAGAGGAAGATCAGCTTGCAAATATGCCCCTGTTTTGGGCAGGCGACCCCTGTAGGAGTTCCCCACTCTGCACTACCATAGGCAAACCCCTTTGCAAGGGACTTCTGCACTCGTGTCTGAAAGTGGGATGATGGTGGGGTAGCTCCCAAAGGGTTCCCCACTCCATTTTTGCAGCATGTGCTCCACACCGCTGCCAGGAATAGGATTGCTGGGTTAGCTGCAAACAGAGGGGGATCTCTCCAGGGAGCTCTCTCCCCACTTCCATGCTTGCAGGGCATGTGCAGAAATCTCCTGCAGAGGAATTTCCCTGCATGCTGGACAGGATGGGTGTTTGCAAGTGAGGAGTGCTTGCTTGCAGACAGGCACCCTGAAGACATGACTTTCCCGAGTTATTCAGTGGCACCCCTGGGGGGATGCATCTGGGTAAGCTGGGAAAGCGAGGCCGGCATTTCTAAGGCTTGATGGGGCCAGTTCTGCCCAGGAATTCCTGGGCTGTGCAGGTTCAGGCCCCTCAAGCCTGTGGAGTCGCTACCTCAGGGAGGCTGGAGCGTGCCAGCAGTTTTACGCTGCTTGTACCTTTTTGCCATAACCAAACATATGGGGGCTAGTATAAAGCCACCCAATTTATTGCTACCTTCTGTTGCAGCCATAAACTTGAGGATTTGTGGTGCGACAGAGGGTATGGACACCTATTTGCTTTCACTTTAGGCCACCATAAATATTTGGATAGCAGCACAAAGATGACAGGGTTTTTTTTACCCTGAGAATGATTGCTTGATGGTGGGCTGTATCTGCAGAGAACAGGCAACTGCTAGAACTACCTAAGGAGGCTCCATATATGGTTGGGAAGGATTAGGAAGGCTTGGAATTGTGATTATCTGGGATTGGGGAATAATAACAAACAAAATAATAGTACACTAAAATTTACAGAACAAAGGTAATTTAGGTGGCCTATGTCACCTAATCATAGAAAATTAGGGTTGGAAGGGAACTCAGGAAGTCATCTAGTTCAACCCCCTGCTCAAAATAGGACCATCCCCAACTAGATCATCCCAGACAAGGTTCTGTCTAGCCCGGTCTGAAAAACCTCCAAGGGTGGAGAGTACACAGCATCTTAGGGTAACATGTTTCAGTGCTTTAGTACCCTCCTAGTGAGAAAGTTTTTTCCTAAGGTAACCTAAACTTCTCTTGCTCTAACTTGAGACCATTGATCCTTTTTCTGTCATTTGCCACCACTGAGAACAGTCTAGGTCCATCCTCTTTGGATCCACCCTTCATGTATTTGAAGGCTGCTATTCAATCCCCCCATAGTCATCTCTTCTGCAGACTAAATAAGCCTAGTTCCCTCAGCCTCTCCTCATAAATCATGTGCCCCAGCCCTCTAACCATTTTTGTTGCCCTCCACTGGGCTGTCTCCAATTTGTCTACATCCTTTCTATAGTGGGGGGCCCAAACCTGAACACAGGACTCCAGATGTAGCCTCACCAGTGCTGAATAGAGGTTAATAATTACTTCCCTCAATTTGCTGGCAAGGCTCCTGCAAATTCAGCCCAGCATGCTTTTAGCCTTCATGGCAACAACAGCACACTGTTGGGTCATATTAAGCTTATTGTTCACTGTCACTCCCAGGTCTTTTCCTGCAGAGCTGTTGCTTAGCCAGTCAGTCCCCAGTCTCTACTGGTGCCTGGGATTGTTCTGTCCTCAGTGCAGGACTTTTCACGTGTCCTTATTGAACCTCATGAGATTTCTTTTGGTCCAATCCTCCATTTTATCTATGGTTCTCTGAATCTTAGCCCCACCATCCAGCATATCTACAATTCCCCACAGCTACGTGCCATCTTCAACCTTGCTGTGGCTACACTTAATTGCATCTTCCAGACTGTTGATGAAGACATTGAAGAAAACCAGCCCTTTGACTGACCCCTGAGGCACTCTATTTAATGCCAGCTGCCAACTAGACAGTGAGCCCCTGATTGCTACTCATTGAGCCCCCAATGATCCAGCCAGTTTTCTACCCACTTTACAGTTCATTCATCCAACCTGCACTTCTTTAGCTTGCTTGTGAGAATGCTGTGGGAGACCGTATCAAAAGTATTGCTTAAGTCATGCTATATCATATCCACTGTTCTCCTCACATACACAAATCCAGTCATCTCATCATAGAAGGTAATCAGGTTGATCAGGCATGACTTGACCCTGTTGAATCCATGCTGGCTGTTCCTAATCACTTTCACATCCAAGTGCTCAGAAATGGATTTCTTGAGGACCTGCTTTATGATTTTTCTGGAGACTGAGGTGAGGCTGACTGGTCTGTAGTTCCCTGGATCCTCCTTCTTCCCTTTCTTAAAGATGGGCACTACATTTTCCCTATTCCAATCACCCAGGACATCTCTCAATTATCATGAGTTTTCAAATATAACAGAAAGCAATGCTGCAATCACATCAGCCAACTCCCTCAGGGCCTTCGGTTGCCTCCTGTCCAGTCCCATGGACTTGTATATGTCCAGCTTTTCTAAATAGTTCCTAACCTGTTCTTTTGCCACTAAGAGCTGCTCACTTCCTCACCAAACTGTGTTTCCAGGTGCAGTTGTCTGGGAGCTAATTTTGCCTGTAAAGACTGAGGTGAGAAGTCATTGAGTACTTCAGCCTTTGCTTCATTATCTCTCAGCAGGTTGCCTCCTTCATTCAGTAAAGGACCCACACTTTCCCTGATCTTCTTCTTGTTGCTGACAATACTTATAGAAACCCTTTTTGTTACCTTTCCCATCCCTTGATAGTTGCAACTCCGACTGTGCTTTGGCCTTCCTCAATTCATCCCAGCATGCCCAAACTATACTTTTATACTACTCCTTAATCATTTGTCCAAGCTTCCACTTCTTTTAAGCTTTCTTTTTGTGCTTGAGCTCACTGAACATTTCCATGCTAAGTCAACCTGATCTTCTGCCATATTTGCTCATCTTCCTGCAGATCAGGGTGGTTTGTTCCTGTGCCCTCAGTAAGGTTTCTTTAAAATACAACCAACTTTCCTGGACTTCTTTCTCCTTCAGACTGGCCTCCCAGGTGATCATGCCCATCAGTTCCCTGAGTGAGCCAAAGTCTGCTTTTCTGAAGTGCAGGGTCCTTACTTTGCTGCTCTCCTTCCTTTCATGATCCAGAACTGAATAATCTCGTGGTCATAGATTCATAGATGTTAGGGTCGGAAGGGACCTCAATAGATCATCGAGTCCGACCCCCTGCATAGGCAGGAAAGAGTTCTGGGTCTAGATGACCCCAGCTAGATGCATATCCAACCTCCTCTTGAAGACCCCCAGGGTAGGGGAGAGCACCACCTCCCTTGGGAGCCCGTTCCAGACTTTGGCCACTCTAACTGTGAAGAAGTTCTTCCTAATGTCCAGTCTAAATCTGCTCTCTGCTAGCTTGTGGTAGTTAGTGCGCTGGTCGCAGAATGCCATTTCATAATCAAGCCAAATCTATTAATTTTGTTCTCATTCATACTGAATCTGGATCTGGATGCATTACCAGGAATTGGATAATAAATCTGTATGCAGTTAATGTTATCATGTGACAAATGACATAAAAGTTGGCTGACAGCATCACACCATTGGTCCATGTTGTCTAATATCATACTCCCAGCACTATTTCTTTTTGATTCTGAGGATGAGAAAAAAAAGTGCCCATAATGCATCTGGTCATTTGTTTAGTTCTGTAGGGATATATGTATGCTGGACATTTTTCCTCCCTAGGTGCAGCACTTTGCATTTCTCCTTGTTGAACTGCATTCTGTTGTTTTCTGCCCACTTGTCCAACCTATCCAGGTCTGCTTGCAGCCGTTCCCTGCCCTCTGGCGTGTCCACTTCTCCCCACAGTTTTGGTCACTGCTGCCCAACTTGCCATCCACCTCTATGTTCCCCACCAATTCTTCCCTTTTTTGTAAGTAGCAGGTCAAGAAAAGCATGGCCCCTAGATGACCTCTCTGACACTTGTACCAGGAAGTTATCCCCAACATTTTCCAGAAACTTCTTGAATTTCCTGCACACGGCTGTATTGCCCTCTCAGCAGATGTCAGGATGATTGAAGTCCCCATGAGAACCAGGGCCTGTGATCTGGAAACTTCCACTAGCTGTTTGAAGAAATCCTTGTTCACCTCATCCTCCTGGTCTGGTGGTCTATGGAAGACCATCACCACGATGTCACCCTTCTTGCTCTCCCCTCTAACTCCAACCCACAGACTTTCAACAGGCATATGTCCAGTTTCATACTGGAGCTCTGAGCTATCATTCAGTTCTTTTACATAAAGCACAGCTCCTCCTCCTCTTCTTCTCTCCTGCCTGTCTTTCCTGAATAATTTGTTCCTATTCATGACAATGCTTCATTCATGCAAACTATCCCACCAAGTCTTTGTTATTCCAGTCACATTATAGTTCAGGGACTGTTCAAGATCTTCCAATTGTTCCTGCTTGTTTCCCAGGCTCCATGCATTCATGTACAGTCATTTGAGGTAATTAGCCGATTGGCCTATTTTCTCAGGAAGAATAAGAATGTGTTCCCTGTTTCCTCCTCCTGCTTATGCTTCTTCCAGGTCCCCCATTCCACCACTTACCTCAGGGCTTTGGTCTCCATCCCATGGCAAACCTAGTTTAAGGCCCTCCTCAGTAGGTTAGTGGGCCTGTCTGTGAAGATGGTTCTTCCCTTTTTTCATTAGGTGGATCCTGTTTCTTCCTAGCAATCCTTCTTCTTGAAACAACATCCTATGCTCAGAGAAGCCAAAGCCCTGTTGGAAACACCATCTGTGCAGTCATGCGTTGATCTGCAGGATACATCCAATCCTGCCTGGGGCATTCCCCTTGACTGGAAGGATTGATGATAACACCATCTGAGCCCCTGTGCCTTTCACCCTTGGACTCAGAGCCCTGTATTCACTTTTGATCTGCTCAGGGTCACCCCTGGCAGTATCATTTGTGCCCACATGGATGAACACCATGGGTGAGTAGTCAGAGGGCCATATGAATCTCAGTAATCGCTCCATGACATTTTGAATCTGGGCTTCAGACAAGCAGCAAACCTCCTGACACAACAGGTCAGGTCAGCAGATGAATGCTTCCATGCCCCACAAACTGGAGTCTTCAACCACCACCACCCATTTCTTCCTTTTGGTGGCAGTGGTCTCAATCCTCCCAACCTTGGGGATGCATAGCCTGCACTTCTCCACCATTGGAACATGCTCCTCCTCCTCCTCTGTTGCTAGGGCTCCATATCTGTTCTTCAGGCAAATCGCTGCAGATGGAGATGAAGATTTCTGCTTGCTGCCAGAAGTCACAAGCTTTGAATCAATGAAGTCCTCAAGGCGGCGTTTGTTTCAGAGCCTTGCCTCCTCCTCCTGTAGCGCTCTTGCCTGCTCCCTGAGAGACACCAGCAGGAGGTACCAGTCACATTGCAGGCACTCCCCCACCTGGTTGTCACTGGAAGGAACATGCAAGCCACAGTCTCCACATTGCCAAACCAGGACTTGGGTGGAAGGCTCACTGGTGAATGGTCCTGTTTGAACAGACACCTCACAGGTACAAACAAAGGAAGAGCTGGCAGTGGTAAATAGATTTAGACAGACTACAACAGTGGGCAGATGAGAATAGGATGGGGTTCAACGTAGACAAATGCAGGGTGTTGCACCTTGGGAGAAGGAATCCACAGCATACATACAGTCTGGGGAGTTCCCTTCTTGAAAGCACAGAGGCGGAAAGGGATCTTGGAGTCATTAATGCCAGACCACAGCCAGCAAGGCCAGCCATACCTTGTCATGCATCCAAAGGTGCATCTCAAGCCAGTCCAGAGAGGTGATACTCGCCCTCTATGTGAATTTGGTCAGGCCTCATTTGGAGTACTGTGTCCAGTACTGGGCACCACACTTCAAAAGGGATATGGCCAGCCTGGAGAGGGTTCAAAGGAGGGCTACCCACTTAGTGAGAGGGCAGCAGGACAGGCCCTACAAGGAGAGACTGAGGGACCTGAACCTGTTCAGTCTCAGCAAGAGGAGGCTGAGGGGGCTCTTTTCTCCCCAGCACCACCTGGGGTGACAAGGAACAATGGTAATAAGCTGATGGAGAATAGGTTTAGGTTAGAGATCAGAAGGCAATATTTTACAGTTAGGGTGGCTAAAATCTGGAACCAGCTTCCCAGGGAAGTGGTCCTCGCCCCTACCTTGGGCAAATTCAAGAGGAGGTTGGATGACCCCGTGTCGGGGGTCTTTGGACCCCAGCATTCATTCCTGCCGGTGGCAGGGGGTCAGGCTAGATGATCTGTTCAGGTTCCTCCTGACCCTAGCTACTATGAAACTATGGTAATGGCTCTGGCATTGTGATGTCCTCCAGCCATTCCTCTGGGGCTCTTAATCTGCCACCTCTCTATTCCTGCCCCTCTATCCAATTAAACCTCCCCTAGCAAACTTGCCTGGAAAATGACCTGTTCACTGATCCTTGGTCCTGAAAGGTTCCTTTTTGCCTTTTCAATGCATCTATATAACTAAATGTGTTAGCTAATGATTAGACTAACAATGTATGCATATTTGTACGTAAGATGAATAGTGGTGGAAAACTTGGTATCTGTTTTCTGTCCACCTACCCCTCTGTGAGGCAGCCTCATCACCTGGCCAATAATGAATAAAGCTAGTCTATTTGTTTTCACTGGGCTCACTATTCAAACCATTTTTCAGTAGGATCTGGCAGCCCCTTCAGATCAGCAACAGTGAATGGCAGGTTTTTGATAAAGTATGCATCTTTTCTGTGGGAAGGTGTTGGATCTCCCTGCCTGGCCATATTTCAGGCCCCCGTTCCCTGGCTATGGGAATAGATGGTGAGGGCTGGAACCTTGGAGGGCCCAGATGTGCTCATGTGTCAGCTTATGGAGCCCCTGCTCTCATCTGAGGCTCTGGTGTTGTAGTTTATTACTATTGTCCACACTGCTCCCAAAGTACAGATGGACATCTTCCCTCAGTTGGCCCCGAACTGCCCTTGCACCACGTGAAGGGAGAACATATATGTAATGTGCCATTTCCATCTGCAACTACACAGGGGAACCATCCCTTTGGTAAATAATGCTTTACCTCTTCCTTCTTTCAGTCTCCAACTCTTCTTCTATTTCCCTTTATAGATGTGATAGGAATGACATCTTCACCTAAGGGAACAGGTAAAGAACCCGCTTCCAATTAAGTGCTGAATTTTCTTGGGAGGTGAGCTGTAACCTCTACTCTGAGAGAAGGATGACATCTATGAGGGAATGGCACCTGGGGTGGGTCCTGCAGGGCATGCAGCCATTCCTACCCAGTGGCTTTTAGCTGACGTGCTGTTGACTCCCACTGTAGCATGTCAGTATCTCCTCTCTCTCAGTATTTGATGTTTTGGCCATATAGAGTACAATTAGTGACTGGGGATGTTCCCTGGAATTCACATGTCTTTCAGAGAATAGTGCCTACTGCTCATATGTTTGTTTCTTTTCAGATCCACCTCCAACACACAGTGGGGGAGACATGGTGCCCATTGTCATCTGCATTTTTCTGGGGGTCCTTCTCTGCTTGGTCCTTGTCATTCTGGCTGGGCAGGTGCAAAATGCCAGAGCACAGCAGAGAGGTGTGTCTTGCTGGGTCTAAATGGTGCAGAAATACCTCTCTGAGGTCATAGGGAAAGTTGTAGGGTGTCAAAATGAAGAGGGAAATAGTGCAAAAGCACCTAGACAGGGGTGCTGAACCCCCAGCCTCTGGGCCAGATAGAACCTGCAGTGCTGTGTAATCTGACCTGTGGGGCTCCCTATGGACCCTGTGGGAAGCCCTATGGACTGTGGCCCTGAGCACTAGAACAGGCATACAGGGCAGCACAAGGCCCAGTCCCAGTGCATGGAGGCTCAAATGGGGGCAGTATGGAACTCCGGAGCCTGACTCCAGTTGGGCAGTGTGGCACAAAGCACTACAGTGTCTACACCCTGCTAGGATCACGCTTTCACTTGGTGGAGGCAGCACAGAGCCCCAGGGCCAGGTCCTGGTATACAGGGCTGGCACAGGGCCTGATTCAGCCTGCAAACAGGCCTTGTGCCATTCATCCGGACTATGGAACCAAAATGTGAGCACCAATGACTTCGAACAATTGGAAATCCTGATGAAATGTGTGAGATCATAGGTGTGTGAAGAACAGTTCTAGGCAATAGTGGATAGTGCATTATACTCACTAGTGTCACCTGTAGGATTCAGTCCTACAGACAAGTGCATCTTTAGCTACAACAACTTTGGACAGTACAGAAATGTGTTTCATAGTTTCATAGTAGCTAGGGTCAGGAGGGACCTGAACAGATCATCTAGCCTGACCCCCTGCCGCAGGCAGGAATGAATGCTGGGTTCACAAGACCCCAGACAGGTGATCATCCAACCTCCTCTTGAATTTGCCCAAGGTAGGGGCGAGGACCACTTCCCTGAGAAGTTGGTTCCAGATTCTGTCCACCCTAACTGTAAAATATTGCCTTCTGATCTCTAACCTCAACCTATTCTCCATCAGCTTATGGCCATTGTTCCTTGTCACCCCAGGTGGTGCTGGGGAGAAAAGGGCTCTACCTATTTGCTGTTGATCTTCCCTGATGAGTTTGTAGGCAGCCACCAGGTCCCCCCTCAGCCTCCTCTTGCTGAGGCTGAACAGGTCCAGGTCCCTCAGTCTCGCCTTGTAGGGCCTGTCCTGCTGCCCTCTCACCAGTGTTGCTGCTCCTGGAATACAAACTTCATGTTGGGAGAGGAATTATTGAAGCTGCTATATGGGCAATAATGTGGAATAATTAAATGAAAGGAAAAACAGATTTTTTAAGAGAAGAGATGTTGTGATGGTGGAACAACTAAAGGAAACATCTCAAAAAGAAGTTTTTAAAGGGGACACGTTAGTTTTTTAGACTGGGATATTTTCTGGGCTGAAAAAGAAGCAAAACTGCCAATAGTCCCTCTCTGACCTGAGGCAGAAGGGTTTAATAACATTTCCCATCTCCTGTTCTAATAACCACATACTCTTTTCTTTCAGGATCCATAACATTCATGAAGCCCTTTTCTGAGGCTCTGTATGAAGAGATTAACTACAGCCCAGTGAAGGAGAAGCAGGAATTCTCTGTTCATTCAGGTCTGTGCATTGTATTCCTAACACAGAGTCACTATCTAATTCATTTCCCATCCTGAGATCTTGAACTAGACCTAATTCCCTGTAGTTTTCAACCCTCAGAGGGAAGAAATGCCATAAACACTGGTTCTGTGATGAGATCTGTAAGTAACTGGACTTCTCTCAATGTTAATGAATGCCCCACCTTGCTTATTAACCAAACTTTGCTAGTCCCAGCTCCAGGGACAATTTCTGTCACATTGCCCATGCTGCAGTTTCAGAGTATAAGTATGGGACAAGAAAGCATCTGTTTCTAGGGCCAGATAATTTGAAAATGGCTTTGGAACATTGGAATAAGGATTATTCACTATCCCCTTCCCTTTCCTACAGTGATCTGCTGTGTAGTTTCACTTTCTCTTGATGTTTCATCCATCATCATCCTTTCTGTTACAGAGTGTGGCACTGATTTAGTTGCATGGCAGAATTCAGAGACTAAAGGGTATAAACAGGCTTCACCAAGTGAAGTGGATCAGCCTGTGTGGCTGGGGCAGCTGCCACAACGGAGCTGCCCAAAGAAAGGGGGACCGCCCGGTGGGGCTGGATCCCCTGCCACAGCTGATCTGCTTCAATGGGTAAAATACATGTTGCCCATTGTCTTGCATCAGTCAAGGCCAACAGGTAGTATGTTCCCCACTTACAGAGATGTGTCTCAGAGATTCCCCAGGTCACGTCGACATAAGAAAATAGGATTAGGTATATGTTTGGCATTTCAAAAATGTAATTTACAAGGTAGGAGCAGTATTACTAAAGCTACTAACTATGGACTAGTTAAAATGTAACAGCCATTGTTTTAGTCAACATTTCAAAGAGGATATTAAATACAGCTGCTACTCTCATTAGTACTGAAGAAAAAAATGTATTTTTCATCATTTTAAAAGGAAACAAAAAGTAAGACTAAAAAAAGCAATTAACTTATAAATAGATTACATCCATGTATCAATTGATCAATTGATAGAATTGGTAGATTCAGTTTATCAATCTCTGTCCTCCCTTACCCTCCCACATCATTGAGATGGGTTTCCATTATCATCGCTTTGCAGTGTCTAACAGAAAGTTCATCTCTTCAAATACACATGATAAATATAAGAAATTCTACTGACACAGAGATTAGTAGGAAGGGATTTTAGTACCTCTTAACTATTTGGCAATGTGTGCACCTAAGTGTTTTGTCCCAGGTATATATTTATTTTTGTTTTCAGTGTAAGGTCACTCTTTATTACCATTAATTACCATATATATTTCAGATTTTCCTATTACATCTGGAGATTCCACAGGAAATGATTATGATGATGCCAAAGAAGTTCATGACCTTCAAGAAGTTCTTGCATCTAGGCAGAATAAAGAAGAAACCACTTGGATCCCCAACAAAAGTGTGAGAAGCCAGGATTCACAGGAAGGTGGTAAGCAAATAGTTTGCCAGTTTTCACAATTTTATTGCTACTCTCATGATACTTGTTATTTATGTAAGGACCTATCTATGTGAGATGTTGACTCTGGAGTGGCCTAACTAGCTCTGCAGTGGATGTCTCATGTCTACATGTACAGTGGTATTAGCGGGGCCCTGGGTTTTCTGTTTCCCATGGGAAAATGGACCCCCCCCCCCCACATATTTTCCCTCTGAATTGGGAAAACACAGATTTTTCATTTTAACAGGGAAACAAATGGATTGTGCACTTTTGCAAAGAACTCTCTGTAAGCTGGCAAAGTTTCAGCCTGCAAGAAGCTAGTGGGAGTGGGAAAAGGACAGTCAGGAAGGGGGTACCATGTGCATGTGCACACACACACACACACACACACACACGGCTGCCAGGCAGCCTGGAGAACAGATCCCTACAAGTAAGTCTGGCAGGGGGGAGGGGAGATTGAGGCCCCCATAGGGAAGAAGTTGGGCAGGGTTGGGGCTGATGCTGTTTCCCAGATCAGGTGGTGCATGGGGCTTGGGAGCCAGGGCCAGAATGCATGGCTGCAGGGCCCGGGTGGGGAGCATGACAGGGCTGCAGACAGTTTGGCTGGGGGGCGGGGCCAGAGGTGCAGCTGGTTCCCCACCACTGCACATACTCCCAGAAAGAATGGGGGCATATGCCCCCAGATCTGTGCATGGAGGATGGGCGAGTGGGGGCTGCCCACTTTTGAACTGGGCTCTCTGCCCTGCTGCCTTCCCCCTGGGGCCTCCATGGCAGACAGAGTGAGATCTGGCATGGCACTGTGGGGCTGGGCAGAGAAGCTCCATGACACTGCTGCAGGCCACAGACTGCCCTGGCAAAGCACTCCCTGCTGGCCTGGCAGCAGCAGGGCTGGTAGTCTGTAGTTATACCTCCTGCTGCTGCTGGGAGGGTAGGGGGCACTTTGCCAGGACAGGACAGGGCTTGCTGGAGCAGTACAGACCTTCCCCACCTGGCCCCTCTCTGTCCTGCTGCACCTGGTCCTGCCTGCTCTGAAATGGAGGCCCTCAGCAGAGGGCAGCAGGGCAGGGAGCCCTACGCCCACAGTAAGCAGTCTGCACCACCACCTCCCCCTGCACCTTGGGCTTTGCTCCAACCATGCTGCCCATGGGGGAGTGGGAGCTGGGTTCTGCTCTGCTGCAGCAGCCACTACCTCCTGCAGGTGGCAGCCAGGGCTCAGGTCCTGCTGTGGGGGGCAGAGAGCTGTGGATCTGGGTTTCTGGCCCCATAGCCCTGGCAGCTGGGGGACCCAGCTGGGGCGGAAGACTGTGGGACGTGAGGGGTACCAGCAGGGGTGGGAAGACTGTAAGTGGGGAGTGAGGTGCACCAAAAGGACCAGGGTAGGGTTACCATATTTCCAGTTCCAAAAAAGTGGACACCTGTCTGAGGGAGAGGGGAGTGCCCCTCATCTGCCACCCACAGCCCCCTGTTCCCTCAAAGCCCTGCCAGATCCCCTCAGTCCCAATCCATATTCCCTACTCCCCTCTGTGCTCTGCTGGTGCCCCTCCCTACAGCTGCCCCTGTCCCATCCTGGCTGAGTTGGTGCAGTGACTGCATCAGCATCTCCAGCTCCTGTGGGTGGTGGTGGAGCAAGTCCAACCACTGCATGGCCTGGAGGGTGGGGGAGGAGAGGCCTGTGCACCTTCCACCCTGGGCAGCATCTCCCAACCATCTGCATAGCTCCCCACTTCCCCCTCCTTCAAGGCTCCATGTCCTGCTGCAGCCCCAGCACCCCACCACAACCCCCCCCCCCCACAACCCTTGCACCTTCCAGCTTACCTGTATCCACGTGCTCAGCCAAGACAGGTTCCACACTCTGCCAGGCTGTCTGCATCTGTGTGTGTGTGCAGAGAAACACAGTGACTCCTGTACCCTGCCCCAGCCCCCATTTGCTGAAATGGGATCATGTTTTCTTTGTTTTTCTGCAATAAACTGAAAACTCAGATCTTCATTGAGAACTCAGGTCCTGATGGTGCATGCATGTGTGCTAAGTATTCTGGAAACTGTAGTTCTCTCTAGTGGTGGCCATCTGGAAAACAGACCAAGGGAGGAAATCCCGGACATTTTGCCTGCATTTAAAAAATCTGCCTGGACACAGTACAGGGGGCCAAAAAAGAGGTTATGTCTGGGAAAATCTGAATGTATGGCAACCTTAGACTAGGGGCTGTGGGTGGGGAGTGAGGGGCCTGGACCTGTGTCCTGGTGAGTGCAGGGGGAAGGGTGAGCTCTGATTTTCCATGATAAAAAACCTGAAATCAAATACCAAAATGTATAGGTACTTAGAATTAATTGTATTAGCATGACTGAGGCACTTGTAGGCATCCAAACTCTTTTAAAATCATAGAATCATGGTACATTAGGCTTGCAAGGGACCTCAGGAGGTCTAGTCCAACCCACTTCTCAAAGCAGGACCATCTACAACTAGATCATCCCATCCAAAGCTTTGTCTAGGCGGGTTTTGAAAACCTCCAAGGATGGAGCGTCTACCTTTTCTCTGGGTAACCTGTTCCAGTGTTTTACTGCCCTCCTAGTGAGAAAAGTCTTCCTTATATCTAAGCTAAATTTCTCTTGCTGCAATTTAAGATGATTGCTTCTTGTGCTGTCATCTGCCATCACTGAGAACAGTCTAGCTCCATCTTCTTTCAAACGCCACTTCGGGCAGTTGAAAGTTGCTATTAAGTTCCCTATCAGTCTCCTATATCTAGACTAAATAAGCCCAGTTCCCTCAGTTTTTCCTCATAAGTCTTGTCCCCCACCCCCTCACAATTTTTGTCACCCTCTGCTGGACTCTCTTCAATTTGTCCATATCCTTTCTGTAGTGGGGAGCCCAAAACTGAAAACAGTAGGACTGTGCAAAGCTTCAGTCCTTGATTCAATTAAGAAGAGATTCGGCCCGTTTTGGTGGCTAAATCTCTGAATCCAAATTGAATCAGGAAACCCTTTAATCTGTCTGAATCAAATTGGAACCCTCCAAATTGATTTGGAGAGATTTGGAAAGATTCGGACATAGACACAGCTTTAAATGTTTTTTTCTACATACCTCTAGGTAGCAGGTGGCTCATGAATGCTGCGATGCTGGGGTGGATGGAGTCTCCCACAGGAGCATGGGTGGGGGCGGGGTCCCCCCGTGTGCTTGGCAGTAGACCCAGAAGTGGAGCAGAAGCAGTTCTGATCCACTTCCAGGTCCGGCAAAAAGCACAGAGCCCCCCACCCCTTCCCCCCGCACCTCCCTGGCTCAGTGACTGGTGCCTCCTGGCTCTGGGAGGGCATCCAGGGTCCCCCCATAGCCAACTGCTGAGCCAGGGGGGTGCGGGGTGTGGGGGCAGTGGATCCAGAAGTGGACCAGAAGTACTTCCAATCCACTTCTGGGTTCTCCACCGAGCATATGGGGGCCCCCCGCGCTCCTGGGGGACACTCCATCTGCCCAGCATCACAGCATTCTCAAGTCGTGCCTGGTACCTCAAGATATGTAGAAAAACTTTTAAAACTGTCTCTATGGCCAAATCACCAATTCTCCAAATCAGCATCAAATCTGCAGATTTGGATTCAGCCAAATCGAGTTGGGGACAGTGATCTGAATCAACGAATCTGAATCTGAATTGAATACAGCCTGTTTCGCACACCCCTAGAACACAGTACTCCAGATGTGATCTCAGTGCTCAATAGAGTCAACGCACTTACCAAGGCAGCCCAGTATGCCATTAGCCTTCTTGGCAACAAGAGCACACTGCTGGCTCATATTCATCTTATTGTCCACTGTAACCCTCAGATTCTCTTCTGCAGAGCTGCTGCCCAGTCAGTCAGACCCCACCGTGCGCTGGTGCAGCCCCCCAGCCTGTACTGTTTGCACTTGTCCTTGTTGAACTTCATGAGATTCCTTTTGGCCCAATCGTCCAATTTGTCTAGGTCACTCTGAATCCTAGCTTTACCCTCCATCATATCTACTACTCCCCACAGTGTGGTGTCATCTGAAAACTTGCTGAGGGTGCACTCTATGCCATCTTCCAGGTCGTTGATGAAGACACTGAACAAAACTGACCCTAGGACCAACTCCTGGGGCACTCTACTTGATACTGACTGCCAACTAGACATTGAGCCATTGATTACTACTCTCTAAGCCTAAGCCTGAGCTTCGAAGCCACTTCAGCCGGATCGAGGCAGAAACCCGGTCTGGATCACGGCCATCCGAAGCGGCCGGATCTAAAGCCAGATCAGATCGCTGCTGACTCGCACAGGCCTAATAAATTGTACTTGGTCACCCTAGTCAGCAGGGGCATAGGCTCCAACCTGCTGCCTATCCATATGGCCCAGCAGCTGCAGGAGCCTTGTGGAAGAGCCAGCTCTTCCACTCCCTGTTGCAGCCACCCACTGTCCAGACCTGCCCCACCGTCCACTTCCCCTCTGCCAGTTTGGGACTGCCCTCTGGACCCCAGGCCACACCGCTGCTGCCTGCTGAAGCCCATGACTAACCCTTCTGCCCCCGGCCAGACTGGGGCTGACACCCAAGCAGCTGTGGCCAGAGCCTGGAAGCCTGCTGCAGGGGGGGTGGAGTAAGGCAGGAGCAGCTCTGTCCTAAACTGCTCCTCCCTCACTCAACTTGCTACTGTCCTGGATGCACAGTAAACACTGCACTCAGAAGTAGTTTACTGAAGAGCAGATAGCTCTACAGCTTTTTCTGTTGCATTAATGGCACATGTAGATGTGTCCTAAGGGCATTAGTTTGATCCTGTGAACTGACAAATAGCTTGGCTTCCATATTGTTGTAATACCTTTCAATGTGGCTCCTCACAGGATAAAGCCATTTGACAATATTTGACCAACAGTTTTTATGTAGAAGAATGTGGCTGCTGTCTCATCTCAGGAGGTATATGGAAGATGAGCTTTTTGTTCAGATACTGATGGAAAGAAGAGTGAAAGATATGGATGGAAGCAGAAAATAGGACAAGATTCAACATGGATTTATCAAAATATAATTGAATAATATTGACATCCTTCTATGAAAAGATAATAAGATAAGCTTACTGAATAAAGCTAATGTAGTGGACTAGTTTATCCAGATCTAAGCAGAGCATTTGTAGCAGGCTTCCTGGCCTGAACTCACGTAATTGATGGAGAGAGAAGATCAGGGCTGTTTATAGATATCTCAGCCTTCTGCCCCTGACATTTACTTAATATTTCTATTTAGTGTCAGGTCTTTTCTCATCACTATTAATTCCCATCTGTATTTCAGAGGCTTCTGTACTGCCCCGAGATGCCCCCAGTGATGGTTATGATGATGCTGGAGAAATTTCTGATCCAAAACACAGTTCTGCTTTTCACCAGAACGATGAGAAAGTCAGTGAATCCTCAGAGAAAAGTGATGGGACAAGGAATTCACAGACAGATGAGTGAAGTTGCCATATCTTGCTATTTTGTCTCTAGCCCTACAGTATTTAGCATTTTTCAAAAGCCCCTGTCACATCTGGAGATTCCATAAGACATGGCTATGAAGATGTCTAAGTTCAGCACCCTGAAGAATTTCTTGCACCTAGGCAGAATAAAGAGAAAGCCACTGGGATCCCTGAGGAAAGTGGAGTCACATCATTACATAAACGGCTCTGTTTTACTATAAAAAAAGTATAGCAAATTTTCCAGCTATCAAATTTAAAAGGCTTAAAAAATGAAGTATGTTTAATCTCAAGGCCCAGAAATAACAAAAGGTCAAAATATTTTATTATAAAGCTCAGAAATGTAAGTCAATTCCAAAGTAGTTTGAGGCCTCATTGCAGATTCTTGAAGTTACATGACTGGAAGCAATTGATATTTCTGTATATCATGGTGACCTTGCAATTGCGGAGGTGAATGTGTTTGGAGTGGCTCAACTTATTGGCCAGACCGGTGCAGAGTTAAATCACTATTATGTGCTTCCGTTGATATTTTTAGGTTGAAGTCTGTACTCCCTAGAAAGTGAAGGGACCACTAGAACGGACAGAAAAGACCCATCCCTGTGTTCTGGAGACATAGAATGCGATGATGTTGAAGATGGCGTCGGTGGGACATTGATATAAGAATATCTGTGTTTAGAGCAAATACGCTTTGAGGACATGAATGCTTTTTGATTAGATGACTCTTCTCAGAAATGTTGACTGGGCCAAAGAGTCGATAGAGACATTCCCTGCATAACAGCTTGTTATAGAGGGTTATGTAGTTACAAGAGTATTAGGTTGAGTTTTGAGTTATTTTTTTTAAATTTACCATTGAACAGGCTGTATGGATAGTTCCTGCTTTTGTATTTCTAAAAAAAAAAATCATCATAAAGTCATGATTTTTATTATGAAAACCTCCCTGAAAGTTTGTTCCAGAAATGATATTTCTCTTTCCCCGATGTATTGGGTCAGTCCCAGGGAATGATAATGGAATGAGAATAAAAGTGAATCACAAGACAGGAATAATGATAAATTGGTCGAACCTCAGTACTGCAAGCTGTTAGACAGGGTATTTATTTGATTTATAATTCTGTTCACTAATGCTGATATATCCAGTGAGGAAATACTGCTAAATACATAGAGGACCCTAATGCAGAATTTTGACTCCAGATTTCCATTTGAAATCTAGGGTAATAAACCGACTGTCATTTTGTGGCCCCTTCACATAAGATTAGAAGATAGTGAAAAGAAATCTTTATTCTTCCTGTTTGTTTTTTCCTTTCTTGAAATACTTATACCATGGGAGTCTGGCACCCCATGCAGATAGTCCCAGCAGCCCCTGGCTGGAGAAGGCAAAAGCAATGTGGAGCTTCCCTTTCCACAATCAGCTAGGGACAGCTACAGCAGCCTAGAGACCACAGCTTTTTCACCTGCTCCCTGTCTCATTACCCCCTGGGTGTCCCCTGCCAGCCCAGTGCTCCAAGCATGATTTGGACTCCACTGGGGACCCAGGCATCTGAGGTTCCAGGGAACAGGAGCCACCAGCAGGTGAGCCACACTGTTGAAGTGGTGTGCGACTGCACCACTGGCTTTGAGATCTACTGGCTTCCAGCCGATCTGCCCTGGATCACCTCCATGTTTATGGCTTACGAATATCTTGTGGTGCTTTCTTTTGTTCATTTGTGGTTTATTATCTTTTCCTCTCTTTTGTGGGAAAATTACTTATGGATGTTTTTCATGGAGTAAGTAGTTATTGCATTTTATGATATGTCACAGTGGTTTATTCTTGAAGAGGCCCATGTGTATGCACAATTGGAAATGCTGTCTTCTTGGCACTGAAATTCTGTGGGAATTTATTCTAAAACCTTTAATTTTAGAATAAATGAAGGTCTGTGTCTTGACCAAAGAAAAATTACCTTGTAGTAGACAGCCTCTTTTTTCCTATGGGGAAAAAGCTGAGGAAGGGTGAAAGGTGAGGTGATGTTTTAAATATCTCAGAACCAAATTAGCATGGTACAGATCCTTCTTCATCAAGTAGCCCACTAAAAGAACATAGGTACAGAAGTTTTAACTTATTTCAGCTTTCTTGAAACTGTGAGAAAAAGTTAAGGTGCTTGCTTTTGTAAGATACCATCATCATGGTCTTAAGGCTAACTTATAAAAAGAAAGAAAGAGGAGGGCCCATCTGCCTTTTGTGTTCACTGTTTTTTATGAACTTGAACAGGATGGAGTAAACACCTAAAAGGTGGAATAGGATATGAGCCTAAGTGCCTTAATATAGGAAGTGAGATCTTGAAATGGGCACAATATTCTATGGCAGCCAATGAACAGGATTATGGAAAAGCAGGGTTGAAAGGGATTCTGGCGGGTCATACAGCTCAACCTCCTAGTCAAGACCAGAATATTCCTGTCTCTATCAATCCAGCCAAATATTTTTTCTAATCTTCGTTTAAATGAAGATGACAGACTGTCTACAATATCTCTAGGTAATCTGTACCAGGACACTATCATCTGCAGAGGTAGAAAACTATTCCTAATATCCATCTTACATTTCTTGTCCTTGTCTATTAGGATGATGTCTGTGCACAGCTGGCCATTACAGCCTAGGATGCTGTGGTTTACTGGTACCATCCCTGCTGTCTCTAGGATTGGCTTTAGTAGTCACTCCTGGGCAGCATGTTGTGTCAGAGTTGCCTGGCTCTGGTGTTGGGCTTGCAGCTGCACAGGACATGGGGAAGGGTCTGCTCTCATAGCTATACCTCCAGCACTTCTTGTTTCAGTTTCTGTAGTGGATGGCACTGTTGAGCAATAGCAAGTTGAGATGGGGCCAAATGATGAAACATCAGTCAGTGAAGCATGTGAAGTTCCCATGGGGCATGAAGTGGTTGCTGGCACCTGACTTTGAGGTGACCTCAAAGACTTTGCCCTGGTTGGGTTTCACTTTCAGATTGCTGATATACTTTGCCTGCACAGTGTATTTCAAGAACCTCTCCAGGCAGGGCAACTAACATAGGGTGTGGCATTAATGTGGTTGGTAGTGAGACCTGGGACCAGCAAAATCCCCAGATCCTGATGCTTCTTGCACCATGTCCAACAGCATTTGATGTGTTTCCTGAGGGAACACATGGCATTGCAGGCTCAGCTCCACAGCAAGGCAAAATACACATCATCTCACCTGAACTCTCGCTCCAGTGACCTGCTCAGGAACATGGACACGTCTTCATTGAATGGAGGCCTGGTGATCCTCCTCTTGGTGATCTCTTTCAGGGTGCGGGCAGCGATGCTATTCATCAGACTGTCAGGCAGGTCTGGAGGTAGAAGGCATGGGTGACCATGGTGATGTTGTGGAGGTCACTCATGAGAGGGACATTGGCATCTCCCTGCTGGTAGGGGAGGTGTAAGATCTCATTGCTGGCCTATAGCAGCAGGTTCATCCACTTCTTGAGGAGCTGCTTGATTTTCTTATGTGTTCTCTTTAGGGGTGTGTTGGGTATGTTGAATTTCTCAGGATGAATAAGATGAGGGGGGTGAGGAAGGTGTTAAAGGTATCAACCTTTTGCTTGGGGGCCAGCAGGAAGCTGTTGAGATTGGGGACATTCTTCATGATCCTGTGGTCTCTTCCAGTGTCAGCCTCACCGAATACCTGATGGATGTGCCCAAGTGGATGTAGCTCTTGCTGTCCTTCAGGTGCCTCAAGGGCTTGCCCTGGATCTTAATAGTGGAAGCCAGGATGGCGCTATCTCCAGGAGGGACATCCAGAGGTCATCTAGTCCAATCTCTTGCCTCAGGCAGGATCAGCCCTAGCCAAAAAAATCCCATACAACAATAATCATAAGACTACAATCAACCCTGACACAACATAGACCTAACACCCTAACCTGCCAAAACATGAGAAACCATGGCAATCAATTCCCTGTTCCAATGAAATGCTGTCAGTATACATTCAGGAGGTCTTGGGTAGAGAGCCATGCTCCCCATTACAGAGGAAGGCCAAAACCCCTACAGACCATACCAATTTGACCATGGGGTAAAATTCCTTCTTGACCCCAAATGTTGTGATTTATCTGTGTAACAGGGCACCAATCCTGGACCATGTTACATCACCTCTGGGCCAAATCTGGGATGAGAACTTACCGGGGAGATCTGGCCAGGGAGCATCTATTCTATGAGGCTAGGAGCAGTTGGTAAAATGCGATCTGGTGCCAGAAGGTTAGGCTGGATGCTTAGTAGGCATGTGCAGCTGAAGTAGGCTCCCACAGGGTCCTGGGAGTTCCTCTGCTCGTTCAAAAGAGGCCCAGGTTTGTTTGAATTCTCCCAGAAAGGGGAGAGCAGGGGAAACAAGAAGCCTTCCATATCCATGTGGAGATGTGGAATTGGAGCCAAGACTGGAGAAGAAGCCAGGACCCAAATGGGCATCTCACATAGTTCAGCAGCTGACAGAGGGCAATGACACACCCAGGAGGGGTAAGTTAGAGCCATGGTTGGTGAGTGTGAAAAGAGAGCAAGGATTTTAAGAGTGGGAAGATTTAATGTACCAATGCATATCACCAGATGGGTGATTACAGGCAAATAAGAATTCATTAATTGATGATTGGCAGTGTGCCCCAGTGAGGTCTCCTCCTCTCCTCCTTCCCAGGTGGAGTACCTTACATTTATCTTTATTAAATTGCATCCTATTTCTCTCTGCCCATTGATCCAACCTATCCAGGTCAGCCTGAATCTGCTCCCTGCCCTCCGGTGTATTAACTTTGCCCCATAACGTGGTATCATCAGCAAACTTGGAGAGGGTGCTCTCCATGCCCTCGTCCAAATCGCTGATGAAGATATTAAATAATATCGGTCTGAGGACTGAATCCTGCGGGACCCCACTGCCCACCTCCCTCCAGGCCAAGAAGAAACCGTCCACCACCACTCTCTAGGTGTGGTCCCTAAGCCAGTTGGCCACCTACCTGACCATGATAACCATGCTCTTTCTGAAACTTTTTGCAGCTCTCTGCCAGCATGTGTGTTTGTAATTTCTTATGCTGTGCTCTCTCTCTTTGAGTCTCTTCCCTATATTTTTACAAAGAACCTGATTGTGAACAGTTTTATTATCTGAAACTCACCTGGAGTAGTAAGGAATTCCAGTGAAGAGAAAATAAATTGTTGCATTGGAAACTGAAATGAACCTGCAGCTCAGACAGACCTAGCATCTTCACACACATGCCCGTACCACTTGCATAAATATACACAAACAGATTTTTGGAAAATTCTTACAATGATTCAAAATTCAAAGCCTGGGGCCATCACTGATTGTGATCTTCAAAATACAAACAGCTAAACTGCACATATGATGGTCAGAAATGAATGTTTTTACTATGTACTATATTATTTTGTTTATAATTAATAAAGTCCCTTTGCTTACCTTAGGCCATGTTCTCATTTTGAATATACAATTAAAATATGTACATTATGTTGTTAAGAATGAAACATGTCTAATGAATTTAAAATGTTTTATACTCTGCTGTGACTGCTTCTTTTCTAAAGACTTGAGGAAGGGTATTTTGGCACCTGAAATTTTCTCAATGTCTATTCCAATTAAACAGATGGTCAAATAAAGGATAACACCCACAAAAATGGGTGCCCAATAATAGGCACCTCAA